ATATATATATGATCCAAATATTTCATAGAGCCCTGAAACCTTTCATCTCAGTGACAACTAGTGTCTACTGTCATACAGTCAGAATGCTTAGCTAGGCTGCCCCTTTGAGTAAGCCAACTACTATACCAATTTCTACACTGGGCACTGTAGGGCCCTCACAAACTGGATTCATTTGTAAACACTGCTTCAGTTTGCAACGCTGAAAACTTAAGAATAGCCTTGAGGTTTAGAAGATTAAATTACCCTCAGATTATGTCCTGTTCCATTATCAGGGAAAGTTTTATATTAAATAGATTAAGAATCTCTTCTGAGGTCAAATTCTGTGTTTTGTGGGAACCTGAGAATCATCATTAAATTGCGGCTTATGTAGGAAAGAGAAGGTGGAAGAATGGATTAAGAGATGAGAGAAGATGGTAGGACAGAACTGGGGCAAAAGCCTACTACTGTAGAAAATAAAATGCAGGTTGTATGTATTAATAAGAAAACAGGCAGGATTGGAAAAGCATTGCTAAGAAAGGGCACTTTGAGAATTTGAAAATGAATTTATTTACTCACTGAGTCCTCTGTTACTACAAACTGTTTCTAACAGAAGAGATGGACTTGATGAACAACAGGACCGGGGCATGGGAGACTGAAGATAAAACTTTGAGGAATGGAACCAGGCCCAGACCCCCAGACTGCCTGGATTACCTTTTATTCAAAGATGACATCAAAGCACATTGCAGCTGTCGCTTTCAAATACATCTTATGTTGACTTGGTGATTTCAGTAACTGAGTAAATATGAACTTTGTGTTCCTGTGGTTGTCTGTGTTTCCCGGAAAAACATGAGAGGTTTTTTAAAAAGTCAACTTTTACCCAATTTATCAAGGCTGAAGTACTCATGCAAACAAACTCTGTCAAGCCTATTTGTACCTCAGCAACCTTATGATTCCTGCCTGTCTTATCACTTAAACTGACTTGGTTTTTTTCCTCAGTTGATCTGCAGTCAAGAGTAAAGGTAAATGGCATCTCTCAACCTTCATTTTATCTTCTGCTTGCCTTATTTATTCTTTTTTCTTGAATTTTCTACCTTTCCCCTTTCTTTGGACTTAAATGATAATAAGGAAATACAGACCACCTTACAACACTAATATCAGGGTTCTATATGAATCTTTCTCAACATATCTAACTCCCCTACTTTTGAGAGACATGGTTCTTAAAATTCTATCTTAATGATTAGGAAGCAGCCCTTGGGGATTTACCCCCAAATGAGGTACAGGTAAATATTGTAGGCACATCTCCAGTTGCTTAACAATTTGGCAAGCAGCTTCCCTGGTTAATTTAAACTGCTCTCTTAAACTATTTTGATGGTGCAAAGCATGCAACTGCTGAGCAAGCTCAACTTGTGATAGAGCAATTATTTTTGTAAGTTTGTCAGCTAAAGTATTACCTTCAGTTAATGAACCAGAAAGATTTGGATGTGCTCTGATATGTCCTAGAAAACAGGGTAACTTTCACTGTTGTATGTTCTCTTTAATCTGCTGGAACAGAACCTTAACTTGTTTATTGCTGGTTCCAATCTAAGGGATGGTCTCAAGGACCTGAAGAGCACTTTAAATGTATCAGCTGTCAGTATATAGATTAAATGCCTCATATGCAAATTTTTGAAACACTAAAGCCACAGCTCACAGCTTTATTATTTGAGCTGAAGCTGGTTATGACTGCACGGCATATCCATTACCATTAACCACATATGCAGCTGTCCCATTAGAAGAGCCATCAGTAAAAATTAACAAAGCATATTGCTACCACTTTAGGGAAAATGAATAAAAGCAGTTGTTTGCAGCAACTGGTCATCTGGGAAAAGATTATTTAATCTGGCCTTGAAACTGAGCAAACACAATTGCTCAAGAATCACTATTTTGGAATAACCATTTAATTTGTTGCTTAGTTTGAGGAACATTGATTATAGCCAGTCCCTTGCCAATTTTTTTTCTAGATTTCATCTTGCTCTTCTGTGCTAAGTTTGTTACTGCTTCAAAATAAGTATTTAATACCTTAATTGATAATACAAGAAGGTGCTTGTTTTGTCCTAAAACCACTGTAGGAGCTAGTTTTGTGGGTAAAATACACACTTCCCATGTTTGGCTGCAATTAATATAATGTACCTGTGATTCTTGCATAGCCTGCTCTACCTGGGAGAGAACCTGTCTGGCAGCTTCAGAAAGCTGTCTGCTGGAATTTGGATGACTATCCCCTCTAAGGATTTCACTTAGAGTCTCAAGGTCTCCCATAGGATACCTTAGATAAGGTCTCAGCTCTTGTATATTTCCTAACAACTTTTAGTGTCATTTATTGTCTTTAAACCATCTTTCCTGATTTATATGTTTTGAGGCTTAATTTCTTTATAAGACCTAAGTCTGGAAAAGTGGGTGCCTCTGCCCTTTCTCTGGAGTAATAACTAGCCCCACATGGCTAAGGCTCTGTTGTAGTAGTTCATACATCTCAAATAAAACTCCTACATCTCTATGGGCAACCAAGATATCATACATATAATGGACAAAATGTGGAAATTGATCTCTGACATTTTGTATATCCTGAGCTATAAACTTCTGGCATAAGGTGGCACTGTGTTATACCCTGGGGTAAGATGCTCCATTGATATCTCTCCATTGGCTCTCTGAAATTAACTGAGGGGATGCTAAAAGTTGGCAATCTTGTGGCACCAAAGGGATGGTATAAAAACAATCTTTTAAGTTTAAAATAATTTTATGGGTGCCTTTTGGTATTGTGGTAGGAGAAGGCAGCCCTGGTTATAATGCTCCCATCAGCTGTATGGTTCCATTAACTTCCCTTAAATCCTGAATCAATCTCCACTGTAAATATATGAGCAGCGGGCTGCTCCTGCTGCCCAGCACCTGGATAGCTTATGCCCCGAAATAACAACACACAAACTGTATTCTTTTAAACACTGCTTAGCCCATTAGCTCTAGCCTCTTACTGGCTAATTCTCACATCTTGTTTAACCCATTTCTAATAATCTGTGTAGCACTACGAGGTGGTGGCTTATAAGGAAGGATCTTAACCTGCATCCATGTTGGAGAGGAGAGCTATAGCGTCTGGCTCACTTCCCTTCTTCCCAGAAGTCTGTTTGGTCTACTCCACCTATATTATATGGTATAATGTATCCATTATTCATCTGTTTCTGCACTAATGTCAGGCAGCTTGTAATTTTTCTCTTGTTAGACACCACTGATTTACCCATACAGGCTCATCACTTCCCAAGATATTGGGTCTGCATGAAGTGCAGATTTTTCAGTGATCTCTCCTAAAAAATACCCCAAATCCTGTCCTAGGATGTCTACCATTGGTATTATAGGATAAATCCTTCCCTTATTTTCCTTGCCTAGACCTTGATTAGGCAATAATACTTGTTGAAACAGTTAATTAGTAATAGGTATGCTGGGAGAATATAAATATATTACCATTCTGGACATAATATCTCAGCCCCATAAATTTATAGATAAATGAAGAATAATATATGGCTGGCAAGTTCCTTCATGGCCCTCTCCAGTGCAGTTCATTACTGTTTGTTCGGGATTTCAAGTCTGGCCAATTCCTTGTAGTTGTGTAATAGTATCTGTCTTTGGCTACTTAAAAGGCCACTGGCTAGCAGTTATAACCAAAATATATATTCCAGTATATAGACGATCAGAAATTTTTTTTCCATTTATAAACAAAGTGAGTACTGCTCTCTGAGGTCCTATGGCTTGTAGACAATGGGCATCTGATGAACCAAATTCATCCTTTCCTCTCTTATCTTTCTTAACTTGATTTTGGGTTTGCACATCAGGTAGTAAAATTAATTGTGCAAGCCTCTGACCTGCTTTTATTACAGAAACTCAACTTGGTGAGTGAGTCATTAAAATGATCTCTCCCTCAAAGTCAGCATCAATGACTCCAGGAACAACAGTAATTCCTTTCATAATGGTGCAACTTCTTCCTAGTAACAGATCTACAGTGCTCTTTAATAAGGATCCATAAACCCCAGTGGGGAGAGCTTGCATCCCCACTTTGGATGTCTGAACCATGCATATGGAAGAACTGAGGTCAAGCCATGCATTTCCTGTGGTTGTTCTAAAAAGGTCCTGAATGGATTTCCTTGTGGGAGAAGAAGTTGCTGAATTGCCCCATAATTAATTATGTCTCAGGGCCTGAGGCTAACTACAGCATCTGGTTCCTAAAAGGGGATTTCCTAGGTCATCTCCTTTTGATCTGCACTCACTAGTCCAATGTTTTCCTCTCTTGTATCTCCTATATGTTCTTGGTTCTCTTCTTGTCCTCAGGCTTACTCTCCTATCAGGACATTGTCTGACCTGATGCCCTGTAAGACCGCATCCAAAACAGCTTCCAGGAAGTCCTGTAGCTTGCATTCTCCCTGGGCCTAGATCTCTCTGCTACGATAGGACATCATTAATTGTCTTTCTATGTAAGGCAGCAGCTATGGCCATTCCCTGTGTGTGTGATTGGCCAATATCTCTGCAAATTCAGATATAATCTGTAATGTTATTCTGCTTTCTACAAGGTCTTAGAGCCGCCTTACATATAGCATTACTTACATGTAGACCTCTCAAAAGCATTCCTCACTATTGGAAAATACTATGGAAGTAAAGAAAATTTTGTCATTTTTGCTTCTAGGTAAATCACTATGGACAATCAAGATGAATATTTACTTAACTTCAGAGGCTATAACTTTGAAAGAACTTTAGTTAAAATGAACATAGTGGAAAACATGGATGATCAGGAAATTAGAGATGATGATGTCTTCATAGTCACATATCCAAAATCTGGTGAGTGGCACAAATAGACCATATGGCATTTGTCTTTGTTTTGTGTTTGTTTGTTTTATTTTGTGTTACAAGGAACCGCTTGTTCATACCAGCTGCCCAGAACCAAAATAATTACACAGAAACTGTGTTAATTGAATCACTGCTTGGCTCATTAGCTCTAGTTTCTTATGGGATAACTCTTACATCTTAATTAAGCCCATTTCTATTAATCTGTATATCGCCACAAGGTCATGACCTACCAGCAAAGTTTTGGCACTTCTATCTCTGGAAGAGGAGCTATGGCATGTCCTTAGCACCAGCATTCTTTCTCCCAGCATTCAGTCCAATGCTCCTACCTACCTAAGTTTTTCCCTATTAACATGCCAAGGCAGTTTCTTTATTCATTAATGGTAATCATAGCCCACACAGGGGACTCTCACATCAATTTTGTTTTGTTTTTTTCAAGATAGGGTTTCTCTGTCATTTTGGAACCTGTCCTGCACCTAGCTCTTGTAGACCAGGCTGGCTTTGAACTCACAGAGATCCATCTACCTCTGCCTCATCATTGCAGGGATTAAAGGTGTGTGCCACAACTTCCTGGTATTTTGGTTTTACAATAAGTGCATAAATATTCTCCTTTCCACACACTGTCATTTCAACAATACTACAAGAATTATCTGGATTCTCATTATCAATAACCACATCTTTGTAAGTGAGAAGGAAACAAAGAGGTGTACAGTTCAGCCTTACTGACTTGAGAGTTCATTAGAGACAAAGGGGAATGAAAAAGGGGCACGTTCAAGCATGCCTGGGGTGCTAAAGAAAAAGAGAACTCCAAATCATTGTTAAAATGGATGACATTTGGTATTCATTATTAAAACTTATTTTAGTATCAAAAATGGGATTGTTATTTGTTCTTACAGGTACCGTCTGGACACAGCAGATCCTCAGCCTGATTTATTTTGAGGGCCACCGGAACAACACTGAAAACATCCAAACAATAGACAGAGCACCATTTTTTGAGTACAATAATCATAATATGGACTTTGCCAAAATGCCATCACCTCGTATCTTTTCTACCCACCTCCCATATTATTTGGTGCCAAAAGTTTTCAAGAACAAAAAAGTCAAAGTATGTCAGAGAGCTTATTGATTTACTGTACACATGAAATGCCTTCTCTAAGTACTGAATAATTAGTCTATTCCAATATTTTGCCACTGTGATGCAGCTGCTATGAATGTTCTTGAGTGTGTCTCCTGGTACTCTCCCAGCAGCTTCCTTAGAACCCATACCCATGAATAGAGCTGCAGAGCCACAGTGACCAGAGTACTCCACTTACAAATGTGGTGCAGTAATTCTGAAGAAAGTGTATTTGTCATTTCTTGCAGAAATGCTCAACAGATGTCTTCTTAGTGTTTCCCTAGTAACGTGACATATCAGACTTTTAGATGTTTATAAACATGGCATCTAGGAAGAGGTGTCTCAAATGTATCTTAAGTTGCATCCTCATCCTTATAATGGAAGTAACCATGTTGGATGCTTATTGGCCATCGTTATTTTTGATTATGAAAAAAGGGTCTATCATTAGCCCAATATTTTACTACATTCTTCTGTCAGTTTGCTTTCTATCACTTCTAGATATGAATCTATTTTACCTCATCCTCATTGTTTGTGTTTTCATCAACAACATTCTTAAAATTTGTTTTATAAAACTGATTTTTCTTTTCATTGTTATTTTTCATATTTATTAAAAAATTAATTTTCATTCTATATGCCAACACCAGTTCCCCCTCTAATATTTTCATCCATCTCCCACCTCCCCTCTTCCCATTTTCCATTCATTTCTCAGAGGGAGAAAGGCCTTCCTTCAGAAATCAACAAGGTCTGGAATACTAACTTGAGGCAGGAGCAAGCCCCTACCTCTAATATCAAGCCTGAGTAAGGTATCCCAATATAGGGAACTGACTCTGAAAAGCAGATTTATGCACCTGGGATAGGTCCTGGTGTGACTGGCAGTGCCCCTCCAAAAGATCAAACCACATATTTGTCACCCACATTTAGAGGGTCTAGTTCAGTCCTATGCAGGTTCCCCAGCTGTCAGTCTATAGTCTCTGAGTTCCCACTTGCTCAGGTCAGCTGTCTCTCTGGGATTCCCCACCATGCTATATGGCGAGAGGACTTTTAGGGGGTTCTAATGGAATGGGTGCTCTGTATGTTTCTTGTACCTTCACAGGCATTTCTTTCTTTAGGGTGGGAAAGTTTTCTATGATTTTGTTGAATATTTTCTATGCCTTTGAGCTGGTATTCTCCTTCTTCAATCCCTATTATTTTTAGGTTTGGTCGTTTCATGGTGTCGATTTCCTGGATATTTTATGCTAAGAATTTGTTGGATTAAACTTCTTTTTTGACTGATGAATCCATTTTCTCTATTTTATATTCAATGCCCAAGATTCTCTCTTCCAACTCTTTCATTCTGTTGGTTATGCTTGCATTTGTAGTTCCTGCTCATTTACCCTGATTTTCCACATTTAGAATTTCCTCGGTTTTTGTTTTCTTTATTGCCTCTATTTGAATTTTCAAGTCTTGAATCATTACCTTCACTTGTTTGATTGTTTTTTTCATGGTATTCTTGACTTTCTTTAAGAGGTTTATTGAGATATGTTGTTTGGGCTTTGGCTTTTCTTTCTTGTTCTTTTCCTCCCTCCCTTACATTATTTTCTTTTCTTAAGAGAGTATTTCATGTAGCCAAAGCTGGCATGAGCTCCTCCTCCTGCAGTAGATACCCAGGTTTTAATGTTGTGGACAGATGCCCACAGATTATTATTTCTATGTAAGTTTTTATACTACTTATGCTTTTAACTCATGTTTAAATTAATTTTCTGAAAAATATGAAGGAATTCTCATTTTTGAAGATTATAAGTTGATAACTAGTTATACCAATATGACTATTAGTTTTCATTTTAGATTTATCTCCAATCCCTCCCTTCCTCCCATTCACTCAACTTACCACTGCTGACTCCCCACCCACTCCTCAGAAAGGACAAGGTACATTGCTTTGGGTAAAGTCCACGGCCCTCCCTACTCTATCTAGATTGAGCAAGGTATCTATCCAAAGAGAAAAGTTTCCCAAAAAGCCAGTATAAGCAGTAGGAATAAATCCTGGTGCCACTGCCACTGGCCCCTCAGACTGCCCCAGCCATACAACTGTCAGCCCCACTAAATGGGACTAGTTTGGACATATGCTTATTCCTTCCATGTTGGGTTGGAGTTGGTGAATTACCATTATCTCAGGTAGACTGTTTCAGTGGGAGTACCCATTATGATCTTGACCTCCTTTTGAGCTACATTCTTAAACATGAAATGTCATAGAGGAAGGTTGTTTATTACAGTATTTTCTGGAATACCAAAATATAAATAATAAACACTTGACTTGGTACAGCTCAAAGACTAGAAGAAATAATTATACTTATTGTCACAATCAAATATTATAAAATTGTATTTAAAAACTTATAAGCACAACCAAGATTTGCTTAAAGAAATAATTCCATAATTCTATCTACAGATTCTTTATATCTACAGAAATCCTAAAGATGTTTTGACCTCCTACTTTCATTATTCAAATTTGATGGTTATACTTGAAGCCTCAAACACTATAGAAACGTTTATGCAAACATTTCTAGATGGAAGAGGTAAGTATTAATTAATCAACCCAGACTCAAATGAATCACACAAAAGGTAACAGTAAGCCAAATTCTCGGACTTACAGAACATAACAAAGAAATGGAGCAGGGCATTTCTTATTTAAAGGAACAACAACAACAAAATACTAGACAAGAAAAACAATATCAGACAAACAAAAAACAAAACAAAACACAAAGAACGTATCTCTAGTGACAATGGTATGTCAACTCTATATGCTATCAACTGGCTTTTCTATCTTTATGCAACGTTTGAGGATTGCCAGGATTACAAAGGCATGTCATGAAAAAACTATTTTGGTTTACGGATATTCTATCAATTACTTCCAACAAGTGCAAAGGTAGAATAATCCATTCTGTCAGAGAAAATGCTGAGAGTGGTTGAATGTTTTGCATGAGCCTGTGTATGGCTTTATACTACAGCAGTGGAATTGTTCATTCTATTACATAGGTGGATTAATTAAGGAAAGAGGCTCAACACTGTAGACAGAAGTTACTGTTCCACATGGGGCCACAGTCATTAAGTCCCCCCGAAAAACACAGAGGTTTATATTAATTACATATTAATTTATTTTGGCCTATTAGATCAGGCTTATTATTAACTAACTCTTACAACTTAAATTAACCCATAATTTCTCTATATATTTAACTACTTGACTTGTTATCTTTTCTCAGTGCAGCATTTTCATCTTGCTTCCTCAGTATGATGACTATCTCTGTCTTTCCTCTTCCCAGAATTTTCCTAGTGTGGGTACTCCACCTATACTTCATGCCTAGATACTGGCCACTCAGCATTTTATTAAACCAATACAAGTGACAAATCTTTACAGGGTACAAGAGCATTATCTCACATCACATCACACGTGGAATCAGAATTTTACTTGCTTGTAAGATGATAGATTCTGGCCACTGCTGACAGTGAACAAGAGGAGAAACAGAGGCTTGTGCCCTCTCTGGAAAAGAAGGAAAAAGAACCAGTGTGCCTTAAAGCCACCTGAAGCCTCAGGCCCTTTATTTCTCTATTATTTCTTTCATACTTCTTTAGTAGCATTATATAGACAGGTTTCTATAAATATCGGGTAATTGTTTCCCCTAAACTATTAAACATTTTAAAAATAGAGATACAGATGTCCATTTCAGGCCCTCTATTTTATGTCTAAAAATTCCAAACCATAAAAAAAAGGCTCAGAGTTTGTTGTCCACTACATGAACACACAGCTTGGCATTCTCACTTGTTACTTTTCTTCCCAGTGGTAGGAAGCAATTGGTTTGACCACATAAGAGGCTGGTATGAACACAGACATGACTTCAATATTATGTTCCTGAGCTATGAAGATATGAAGAAGGTAAGTTGTATTTTAAAATGATTTCTTTTACACAGTTCTTCTCTAGACTGAAAACACATTCTCCAAGATATCTTCATACTTTAATTCTGTTTTGGGCTTTTTGTTGGAGATGATTCCTAATGTCCAGCCTCTACCTCATTCCCTGGACTTCTGTACTCTCTTCTCCCTGTGAAGTCATTGTTTGTGATCCCTTTTTATGTATCAAAGGCAACCCCTAAACTTCACAGCAACAATGGCTTCCATAATTAAAAACTTTATTATCACATGTGAATTACATTCATTAGTGGAATTTGATGTTATATCCTTGCCCATGAATAGAATATACATTATTCTTATCTTGTCATGCTTTTCATTCATTTCTTCCCCCTCAGACCTTCCCCAATTACTGCTAAACACAAAAACACTTAAAAGTAGTTTAAGGTTTACTTTATGTTTCAACATATAAGAAAACACAAGAAATTTGTGTCATTGTCTGGCTCATTAACTTAACCTGCTGTCCTTAATTTCATACATTTTACTGCAAATGATAGAATTTTATTTCATTTTTATATCTAAATAATAATATATTTTATTACATTTATTATAATATATGATATATATTATAAATTATTTACTCTTTCATTTGTTGGTGGACATTAGGCCAAGTACATGTCTTATAGTTGAAGATGTATAGCAATAACACTAGATAAAAGTAAGGTTTTGAATGGTGACTTCATTTCCTTTGGCTTTATTCTCATGGAGGCTAGAGCTGACATGATAACCCATTTTACTACAGTTTCCCATGCTCACATTTGCTATAGGCCAGCAAATATCAGCAAGGCTTGTATCTACTATAAAATGTGAACAACTAGAGCCATAGACAATAATTTGACTGATGGGACAAATTCTCTGTTTTTGTAAAAAAAATAATCTTGGAGCAACTCTCAGATGAATCTAGAGAATATTTTTTAATTGTTCACAATTAAACAGTATCTTTAAATCAAAGAAAAAGAGTTAAAGTTCACCAAACTCTGATACTTATTGACAGATTGAGTAATGAAAAATAAGTGAATGTCCTCTCTGTGACAGACTGCAAAACAAGAGTAAACAAGGACTTACCTTTTTGAAGACTTCATGAGTTAACAAGGAAGGCAAACAGTCAAAAAGCAAATACCCAAAGAAAAAATCCATAAGAGTATCTTGGCTGGTGACAGGGCAAAGTGGGTAAAGGGCCTTCCAATGTGTGCCTGACAAACCAAATTCATTCCTCACAGCTTCCATAAAGGTGGAAAATCAGAAATAACTCCTTAAATTTGTCTTCTGAGTTCGCCCATGCACAATAGCACAAGTTCCTATCATGTAGCTCACACGCATACACACATACACACACACACTACGATTTTTAAACTTTTAGAGATTTTAGATTAGTAAGTGTAGTTATTAAAGAAATGCCAAATATGATGTCAGCATTCATATAAAGTTTTCTGGTATAACTAAGGATAATGGCTTTTCTGGGTGGTAAATGTAACATGAGATTTACAAGTTAATATATATAAACTAACTAAAAGAAAATGGGTAAGAACAAAACACAAGAATAATTTTATTTGAAGCAATACAGTACAATATAAGTAAGGAAAGGACGTCAAAGGTATAGGGTGGGGGACAAGAAACTAGTATGTGAGACCAGAGTCAAGACTGTGCAAGATCTGTGGGTCATGCTAATGATTATTTCTGTAATCCCAAAGTAATGAAGAGACATTAAGAGTTTTTAAAAAACACAGAAATGGAGCAAAATTAGTCTCTTTGAAATATCATTCCCTACCATGAGTTTAAAAGTGAAAATGATAAATGTGAGTAGACAAAATAGATGTGAAGATTTACCTACTGACTATACTCACACATCATTCCCATAATTGTAACCGACATCAATATTTTTTAAAGAGAGAGAAAACTCCCAATATTCTCTAGCAATTTTATTTCCACCAAAGTTAGGATAGTTTTTGGTGTCTTCCTTGTCCATTGCTGCAAAACATTGTAATTTTTGTCTAAACCTTCATGCTTGTTTCTCCAATAATTACCCCAATAAATGAAATGAAACCAGTTCAATTCACACGAGTTTGGTTATTTACTGACTGAGAAGGGCCATCCTTAGGAATTTCATGACTATACAGGAACATTTCTCTTTTCCTTTTTCAGGAACAACACCTTGGATAGAATGCAGTGTTAAAAGATTCCTATTTATGGGACAAAGTATGGGTATAGCAAAAAGTCATCCTCATTGATGAGGACATCCATTGTTTGGAGAAAAGATGAGGCTTACTATTAGGAAGAGATACATTTTGTGGGGTTCTAAAATAACCTATATATTTAGTTCTCTAAATACATAGTAGAATTATGATTCGTGTCCTAATAACTTCTTGAACTGCATGCTTGTCTTTTCCACATGTGCTTTCCTTTAAAATGTGAACACAAAAAATCAAAAGATATTTAATTTACCTGAAAAGACATCAGAATCCACTTAATGACAAATACTTCTGGGATGTGAGGGACTTAATTTTTCCTTCCCATGTGTTTTTATTTTTCCTTTGTATATTCCAACTGGTTGAAGTCTGAAGTAAAAAAAAATGCATCTGCATTATGTGCCTTAGTTTAGTAGTCATTGAAAATTGAATATGGGGACAATCAGAGAAGTGTTATTAGATTTATACGAAAAAAAAATGCTCTTTCAAAAAATGTGTCTCAGAATTATGAACAGAGAAAAGGAAGATTGAGGAAATGTCTCTTTTGCTCGGAAACTATCCTGCACAATGAACATGAGGGTCACAGGAGTCTAATGTACTGTATCACATACAAAATTCCTTATATTTTGGTTAATTTATTCCTTTTGTGGAGATTATGTCTCGGTATGTAGTCCTAGCTTGTCTAGAATGCTTTATTTAGTCCAGTCTAGCCTTGAACTTACAGAGATCCAACTGATTCTGCCTCCTGAATCCTGGAATTAAAGGTGTGTGTCACCTCACCTAAGACAGCAACAGTTCTTAATACAGGGGCAAACATCTTTGACTTTCCATTCTGTATTATTCTGAGAGTTAGTTTGCTCCTACTCCTGGCTCCATGTTTGATTTTGCTGAGTTCATCTGAGCTGAAGCTTGTACTAAAATTATTCTCTGAGATTTACTTTTTTATTAATTAAACACAGTTTGTTTTTAATTCATTCTCATTTATAGGATTGGGTTGAGGCATTTTAAATTTTTTATCTTTTACCTCCTTGAATATAATATTATGTTAAAAATATTTCCAATAACTCCATTATTGGCAGCATCCAGAATTCTATCATCATTTTTCTCTTTCTTTCAGCTGCATTGTCCTGTTTTTCATGTTCTTTCTGTTCTTGGTTTTGTGGTCAGTCATGTTCATCAAAACCATTTGTGTAAATCACTTAGCATTAGAATCCTATTATTTTATTAACCACAACACTCAAGTTTTTTCCTCAAATGACCACACACAAAGATGTAGACTAACATACTCTAGTTATATTAGCAGGGCCCTAAACCATCTGGTCCCCAGATGTAAATCCACCTTTTTTTGTATAAAATGTATAGACTCCTCAGAAGCTCAACTTTCATCAAATATGGAAGAGATTTCAAGCTTCTCTTAATCAATATTTATTTTTACATCTACAAAGGAAATCCATGTGTTCATTCTTATTAATTTTCTTCATGAATTTGGGGTAGTGCTTTTTCATCATGAAGAATACCACAACTTCTCTAGGTAAAACTAGTCTGTCATAAACAACTACTATACTCCTACTCAAGTTATTAACCCCAATTGCACTCTTAATTATGATTTTAAAATCCATAACGTGAAATGTGCTATTTTACCATCATGACCTGTTATGTGACCATTTGTCATGTCCACTATCCAATTCTTTTTGGCAAGCTGAACCCTAGGATGGTTAAAACATAACATCTTATTTTTCTCCTCTCAGTCCTAAAAATAATCTCGTTATGGTCTTCCTGTATTAATTTCTTCAAGCTTAGTACTTGGCATGAGTGGAGACATGCAGTTGTATCTTTATTGACTTATTTTACTTACTGTGATGTCCTCAATGTCATCAATGTTTATTGCATCATATATCAGAATTCCCTCTCTCTGTCTGCATGTCCCATTGTTTTTGTGTTCTATAATCTATATAAGTTTGACTTGATTCCACATTTTAGCTGTTGTGCATACGATGCTGTGAATTCGGATGCACAAATGTTTCAGAGATTTGGGGTTCAGTTATTTGGAATCAGAAGTGAAAGCCAGAAGTGGAGCTGCTGAATCATACAGTGATTCTGCTTTTGTCCTGTGAAGCCAGCGTCATAAGTTTCCCTTTACAAATGAACTACTTTATATTTCTACCAGCACCACCAGCGCTTATGATTTTCTGTCCTTTGATAAGGAATAGTCATCATAGTAGGACACAAGTGGTGTGTTCCCCTTGTTGGTTTCCACTTCCCAAATAACTCACAATAGAGAGCATTTTTCTCCTGTGTTTAATGGATGTGTCTAGACTCCCTTTGAAAATCGTTTATCTAAAGCTTTAGTTAAGTTGATTTTGTTGTGGATTTTTTTGTGGTAATCCTGTATCAGATAAATGACATAAATATTGCTCCAATTCCATAGGTAAACTTTTCACTTCAGAGAATTTCTCCCTTTTTATATAGGCATTACTAAATTTAGTATAATCAATTTAGTATTTTCTGGCTGTCTGTATTTCTAAAGATATATCCCAGACACCACTGTGAAATGCTATGATATAAATCATTTCCCTATGCCTCTGTACTTGTGGAGGAATATTCAGAACACCACTGTGAAATCCTGTGTAGTAAACACAGTCTGTGTAGACCAGACTCCTTTTAAGTCTCTCTAAGAGCATCATAGTTTAGGCACTTGCTTTTATGTTTGGCCAATTTTCATTTGATTGAAATACATTGTAAGGTGAGAATTCAGCTTATGGACATCTGATTTACCCAAGA